GGGGGGGGGTGCCGCAGCGTGTGGCCGTTCACCCCCCAAGGGTGTGGCAGGGGCGCGGCGCAGTCTGGTCTGGAGCGAGTCCAGCCAGCTTGTGCCGTCAATTTAGCATCGTCGGTCGACTGGTCAGAAGCGGCTTGCCCGGCTGCAGGGCGGAGGCGTGGTGTGGCGTGGTGTGGCGGGGCGGGGCGGGGCGTGGCGGGGCGTGGCAGGGGCAACGGCCGAGGGTTGACTCGACTCATCGCGGCCGCTCCGGCGCCAGATAGGGCTTCTCTCTCGTACGTATCGTTCGCCCCTCGGCCTCGCCTCTCCGCTTCTAGGTCGCCCTGTTTCCATGGGCGATATGGTGAGCAGGGAAGTAGCGCACCTTAAGCCCCGCCCACCTCCCCTGCACCGCCCCGCCCCACCCCGCCGGCTGATACACCGCTCTAGTTACAGGCAAGTGATTCAGCGCGCTCGCTGCGCTGGCCAGCCGCCAAGCGTCCTCTCTCATCCTCCTCCATGGAACCAGCGCTCAGTGAGCTCACACTTCCTTCTATTCGACGGATGCAGCCACCCCCGCACCCGCCCCCGCCGCCCGCCGGCCAGCGCGTTTGAACATCGCGCCACACGGTCGCCCCGCCCCGCTCGCGCTGCGACGCAGTCGCTGCGCTCCAATCAGCTGGTCGGCGAGCCGAGGGGCCTAGCGGCAACGGTGGTGGGGCGAGGCGGCATAGCAGGCGTGCTGTCGAGCTCCGCGCCCGTCTCGTCCTGTCCCGCCGGCCTGTTGGCTCTGCCGGGCTAAAAATAGCTTGACTTGGCCCCACCGCGGTAAGTGCCTTGTTGATGTTCGGGGGCCTGGCCCGGCACAGGCCAGCCATCGGGCCAGCCCTCGGCCGATGTGGCATCAGGGCACAGCGTGCGACTGTCCGCGAGAGTCACCGCGGTGTGTGTGTGTGTGGTTATGTCCCCATGGAGCGGCAGCGACAACAACGCCGAAAAAAGAGTAGGAACATTGACATGAAGACAATGCCGCAGCGGTAAGTACATTTTCGTCGGGAAATGCAATGTACTTTCGCCGCGTGCACAAGGAATCGTCTCGTCTGGAGGCACGCCGCTTGGCCACGACGGAGAAGTCTCCTGCACCCTTGGCAGTGTGGTGTGTAGTGCGCCGCGCTGGGCACAGCAGGGAGCAAGGTCAAGGTGGCGGGCAAGCAGGGTGCGCCGCAGCGGGGCAGAAAATCAATTTGACGTTGTGGCTGAGCAGGGTCGCTCATTACAGCGCTCGCCGTGGGCGCGGCGCTATCACAATGCACACCGTGGCCTGGGCTGGGCTGGGCTGGCGCTGGCGGGGCCCCACCCCACCCCGACCAACGGCGCCCCAAACCTTGAGCGCACCCGGGCGCACCCCACGGGGGTACCCGGGGCACCCGCCAGCCGCCAAATGGCAGCCGTCGAGGCAGAGTGTGTAAATGGTAAACACTTCCCACGCGTGCCCCTCGTGTTGCGCTCCCGGGGGGTAAACACCAAGTGAGTCACGGCGTGGAGCCAAGTCCGACAGGTGACTGTCGTCCGCCTCGAGACCGCGAAAGCGGGTAACGGTTCCGCAAGAGGACGCAGGCAGACGGCGGCGGCGCCAGGCACGGCTAACTATTTAGGGAGAGGAAGGGGAGTCCGGAAGGGGTCGCCGCTGCCGACTTCGATCCTGATCAAGGATAGCGCCTGCCGCGGCCGCGGGCCGGGCGGCCGTGACCCTGGCGGAGGGGATGCGGCCCTACGCCGCGGCCGGCACGTCAACACACGGCGTGCGCTGGCAGCCGAACACGCCCCCCTCGCACGCGAGGCGGCCCGCGGCCCGGCCCCGGCGGCAGCCCCGGCGGCAGCGGCGTGCTCGGTGCGGGCCTCAGGCCGGCGCCGGCCGGGCGCCACCAAGGTCGCGGGCGCGGGCCGGCCGGCCAGTCGGGCTGCGCAGTAAGTACGCCCCGGCGCCAGCTGAGCCCCCGCGCCGTGGCCCCCGCTCAACTCAACGGAGATGCACCCCCGAGCACGGCAGCCGGGGCCGGCGTGACCGGAACCAAAACACGGTGCTCGACAGCTGATGGCTTCCACCCAACGTGGGCGGTGGGGTCGAAGTTTTTGTCTGGGCTCTACATATTGTGATACTCCCCGGGTTGAGTTTCCCACCGCGTCTGTCGACGCCAGGCAGGCGCCAGGTGCTGCGAGTCACCTTAGTGAGAGACAAGAGCCGGCCAGGCCTGCAAACGCAGTCACCCTCGCCAAGCAGCGTCTGGCGGGGCTAAACTTGTACCCCGCGGGGAGGGCCGAGCGGCGTGCAGAGAGGAAGCGTCGGGAGGCGCCCAGTGCAGCGGCCTGGGCTGGGCCGGCCGTGGCCACAAAGGGAACCCCCACGAAATCGATCATCCGCCAGGAATAGGACGACAGGGCAGGGAGGCCTTGTGCCCGTGCCGCAGGGCCTGGGCCAGGGCGCGGCCGGGAAGTGGTGTGGTCCAAGCGGGAAGCAGCGGCCAGATCCGTCGCCGCAGGGCCGACGTGTGAGGACGCGAGGATGGGCGGGTGGCCCAGCAGGCCCAGACAGAGCATCGGCCTTGTCCGGCCTTGCCCTACATGCTGGCCGAGGCCGCGGCACGGCGCGGACATCCTACAGCTAGCTGAAGGGATTCTCTCGGCACAGCAGCATAGCGGCCGGCCGAAGAGTAACATTCTGCAGGAACCGCCGAACCGCACCGACTCATCGGAATTTTAACGTCTGAGTCACCGGGTGAGTTGTAAAAGCAGACGAGAAAAGCTACCAACCACCACCAGGGGTGCGTCAGCGTCAGCTCGCGTTAGACAGCTGTCCGTCGAATTGTGGGCGCGCTTGGCACCCCAGCCTAAGACCCCAGCGGCAGCAGCAGCTGGTGGCGCCACCCGGGCGCAACCCTCCTGGCGCACGTCCACGCCCCCGCGCCGACGACGTGCTTGCTTCCTGTCCGACGTGGACGTGCAGCCCGAGTCCAGCAGCACATCACAGACGTGCTGCACGCCCCATCACCGCGTCGTGGCACCAGGTGAAGTGGAGGTGAGGCCAATGAGAGCGGCACGGCCCGCGGCCAGCCCGGCCAAATTAGCCAAACTTACCGCAGGTCAGGCACCGCTGCACCCCCTCACTCGCGAGGCCCTTGAGCTGGGCGTGTCGCCGAGCTCCTTGCATCACACCTCACCCGGGCCCCTCGCCGCAATGCAGTTGTCGGTAGACCCTGACCTGCGCACGTCGCCGCGGACGCCGCCCCCTGCCCGCACCCTCTCCCCCGCCCGCAGATCGATGTGTTTTGGTGCCGAGGGGCCGGGTCGTCCGGGTCGGGGGAGGACAGGGCACGGAGAAGGGGTGCTGCCCACCCCGGCCCCGCCCCCGCCACGCCCACGGCAGGGGGGTCGGGGGAGTACGGATGCCTTCCGCCCACCGTAGAAATCAATCTCAGTCCACGGCCGAGTAAAGGGGGCCAGCTCAGAGGTTTAAACCGAAAACACATTCATATCTTGCGTATGTTTGGTCCTGGCGAGTACGTCGTATGGGCTGAACGATGGGTGCGCAAACAGACAAACAGAATGTCGCCGCCGAGTACCCAACACATCTGGCAACGCTGCGGCAGAGCAAGCGCCCCGCCCCCGCCGAGCAGCTGACAAGAGCGCGTCGAGGCAACCCGGCTGGAATCCAAGAGTGTTTTGCCTTTGCTTTGGCAGCGGCAGCACAAGCGGGAAGGGGTCGCCGCGCGCCCGCGCTATGGAGCGCACGTAGGAACGCACCGAGCGCGAGAGAGATGGAGCGAAAACAAACCGCACCGCACCCCCCACCCTTCCGGGCGCGCCCCGCTCCTCCCCGCCCCACCCCCGGCAGGACGCGGCTCCGTGGCGCGGCGCACGTCCGCCACTACTCCAGCTCGCTCTCTGTGCGCCGCCGGAGCCCGAGGCGCGGCCACTCGCTCGCATGTCCTGGAGTGAGTGACGGCGTCCACGTACACCGCGAGCTTCCAACCGCTAGCACCAGCAGGACCAGGCCGCCCAGGAGGGCGCCGACCAAGACGAGACCTCCCTGCTGCTGCCGAGACCTCTTGGCTCCGCCACAAAAACCGCGTAAACAACAAACAGCAGCCCTTGCCGCGGTGCAGCGCCGCCGCCCCGCCCGGCCCCCGTCTGTCCGGCCGCGGTAAACAAAACAGAACGGGGCCATCATCGTGTGTGGAGGACGCCAGCCAGGTCCGCGACGGCGGGGGGGATATTGTCTAGTCCCAGAGCCTGGCGCCCGTCCTGTTGTGCGTGCGCGAGGTGAGGCAACAGCTGGCAATAGCCAGGCAGGGCAGACCCGAGCGGGCGATAGCCTAGATTCTCGAGAGTGCAAACGAGTGTCCCCCGGGCGCTCGCAGAGAGCACGACGGCAAAGCCGGTAAAGCTCTTCATAATGAAATGAAACCGTTGCCCCCGGTTGTCCCCCACGACCGCGGAAGTCGTCACCGTCCTCGAATCGCGAATCGGTTCGCGTACACGCGCTGACACGAAAGGCTGGTCGCCGACTCCATGCCGTCAACGTGCCACCTGCCGATATTCATGACCTGCTGCAAACGCGTGGGGCAGGGCGGGGCAGGGG